ATACACATACATTTCCTGGCATTGGTATTGTGCAAAGCCCAAGTCATGGAGAGGTTGGTCAGGGACTCTGGCCAACACTCTGAGCTGAACGTGATGCCGACACAGCATCTGCAGCCAGCCATGTGAGGGAACCCTCAGGATGTCCAGTCAAACCTGTCTCCAGCACAGATGGAAACCTCCATGGCAACACTACGCAACCAAGTACAGGCAGCAAGTGTGAAAAGTGGTTCTTCCACACTGCTGCTGTCCAGTGGTCTGTTTTGCAGTAACAGATAACGGAAGAGTCTGTTCACTGCACTCCCCAGTGGTTCCCTTGTCCTAAAACCCACCTCTCTGCCAGTACTTGGACTCAGTCTCTTCTACAGGGTCTCTAACCTCAGAGTGAGGTTTCCGGGGAGCTGACACACTGGTCTCTGCTACGATGCTCACCTCTTCATCCTCCCTTGTTGACTGGCTGCTCTGGCTGTTGTCTTCTTTTTCTTTTTCCTCGAAGCCCTCCCTGACCACCTCACTCTCCCTAACAGCTATAGTTCCTTGAGGTCAGGGCCTATCTCTTACACTGGGTTGAAGACCAGCACATAGGGAGTGCTGCATGAATTCTAGTCAAATCTAGTTCCCAATCCATGCATGGGACTTAGCTTGGAAATCTCCCAAATCTTCTTTCCACGACACTGGCTGCTTTTATTACCAAACCCAAAGAATTTCACTGTAGGTGCCACGTTGTCAAGTTAGATCAAGAGTTTGAAATTTTGGCGACTGCTAGGGAAGGGCTTGTGAGAGTTCAGCATGGCACGTGGTCCAGTCCAGATGAACTTGGGCAGAAAGTGCTGAGGCCTTGTGGGTTGAGACCCCACTGTCCACCTGACTTTTCCCCTCCAGGATTATGAAGTCCATTCACTAACCGCTTCCACCTATTTATGCTTCTTCAGTGGGAACCTGAGATGCTTGAAACAGGTGATGGAACTCTGTGCTTTTTCAGCCAGTACTATTTGGGAAGTATTCGTATTTTTTAAAAAATCAGGTATTTACAGTTAGCTCAGTCTAAATGGGGCCAAAGTCCCTCATTTCTGATCCTCTTGCCTGTCTTTGAGGTCAACACATATTTGATGCTGGACCTCACACCCTGGAGCTCATCTCTTGAGGATCCAAAGAGAAACAGCCTCGGGAATACACTAATGTCCTGCCCAACCTTGACTGGAAAGCACCCACAGCAGTTGGAGAAGACACTCCGGAAAGTGGCTTTGAGTGTTTGTCCCAAATTAGAATGGGCTGCAGCCATCTTAGGTGAAATGAACATGATTTCTAAAGCCCTCTTCTAGTATGGAAATCACTTGTATGTCTGTTCACTTTTTTAAAGAGTGCAGTTTTTCTTTATTAAAACAATTTCCTTTGTCCTCATAGATCCCTTATCAATTTTGCTTCAGTCAAGGACTGGGTCAGAAACAGCCACTGGGCAGCTGACATGAGCTTTGCCTATCTGACTGGAAGAGCCAGAGGCCACTGTCCTTTTTCCTAGTGAACCGTGGGCACAGCAGTTCTGTCTTAGAGTCCCATTACACATCTGACATACAAGTCAGTTTTAAACTTTATTTAAACAAGTAAAATTGTATCCATGCTTTGAAAACTGAAATCCAAAATCAGTAAGTGCGCCCATAATACAAAGTTGTTTACGGCAGTAATAGAAATAAATATTGGTTGCATTTACCCATATGAAAATGTCACAGAATTCAAATCACAACTTTAGGTCTTCCATGATTCAAATGTGTATTCCACACGGTAAAGTCTGGTGAGATTTAAGATCAATTTCTCCCCTGGATGTGCCTCCCCCAGTCAAGTCATTCCTTATCATCATCCATCAGTTCAAACAATGGGAAAACCGGCCCGCGAGGCAATTCCACAGTTGTTTTTCTGGTTTTTGGCCATCTTTAGGTAGCTACCCATGGCCCAGTCTTCACTCCAGCTGAGAGAAGAGCAGGTTTTCTGTTTCTCAGAAAGAATGAAACACATTGGGTTATTAACAGATACACCCAACTTAAATGATGTACCTGGAGCCATAGACTTAACAGAAAGGATCAGGAGAGGTAGATGTTCTTGTTTGTCCTTGATAAATTTGTGAGACTAAACCTGCACATAACTTCCATCGCAGACCCCAAAATGGCCTTTCACAAAACTGCACCATCAGAGACAGAAAAAGGATAGGATGCTTTTCCAGCCACATATGTTTCAAAAATAAGAAAATCATCAGAAGTAAGAAATGCAATGGCTTTACACAATAAAAGATTGAGAAAAAAAAAGAAATGCAATGGCACAAATACCATATTAATATCCCTAGATGCTCGTAACATTATCTTAGTGTTATAATCAAACATCAATATCTTGTGTCCAATCTGAGATGTGTATCCACAATACTGACTACAAACAATAATTTCCTTTCGAATTTCAAATATAGATGTGATCGGCAATTTATACCTGTTCTTCACCAGCCAATATTTGTTTTTGCCTGGTTCTGCTCCTCCATAGCTGTAGCCAACCACCAGAAGAGCATAATTCAGGAGTAAAGGGTTGCGGTTTTGCTCAAAATAAATGCCTGGGAGTAAAATGAATACTGAGGTGAGAAGCTCTGAGGGACCACTGACAGGAACTCACCCTGTCACCCACAGTAAGGAACACATGTCTATATTCAGGAAATGATTATCTATTCCAGATAGGACTTAACAAACAATAATATCTGTTGTTATCAAGCTGAGGATTTAGGCTCTCTTTTAAATTAGGAGAAATAAATCCTTCCTTAAAAAAATTGCCTAGAAGTATTAAAGACAATTGTTAGAAAATTTTTAATTCTACACCGAGGATGTCTAGAGATATTGTGCAGAAGACCAAAATCCTTGAGTCAAGATACTCAATTCAGATATAATTACTGAAGTAAAAATCTTTGAAAAATTTTTAAAGATTCAACAACTGGAGAATATTTAAGTAAATTAAACTATACAATAAATGCTGACACTATTGGTAAAAAGTTATAAGGTACTTAGATTCCTGGGATGTGCTCAAAGTAATATCAGATGGAAACATTAAGTACAAATATTCCATGTATACAATGAACAACGATGTTATTAAATATTTACATTGGGTTTTACATTTCAAAGAGTCCGTCATGCTCTTATGTCATGGTGTATTTACACCTTCCTGCATCAATTTAGACACAGAAAAATGCTTATCTTCTTCATAGAACCGGAAATAGTCATGGCTTTCATCAGCCACAACAGAGGTGGGCCCTACAGTTGCCACAGTCTTTATCTGGGTGTCCTCCCGAGAGGGCATCATGTGAAGAAAGCCAGGGACATTAGCAGCAGAATTGTTGAGATTGTACCTACAGATTACTCTCTTTTAAAGGAAAGGAAAGGCTGGGCTTAGTGGCTCAGCCTGTAACCCCAGCACTTTGGGAGGTGGAGGCGAGAAGATTGCCTGAGCCCATGGGTTTGAGACCAGCCTGGGCAACGTAGTGAGACCTCGTCGCTACAATAAATCAAAAAATTAGCCAGGCATGGTGGTGCATGCCTGTGATTTGAAGTAGGGTCCGAAGGCTTAAATCACAGACACGGACACAAAGTTATAAGTAACAAAGGAGAGGTTTATTGTCAGATTCGGCCATGGCCGGTGACCACTTGCTGGATAATGAATTCCAAAGCAAGGGCGGCCAGCTGCAACACAGGATTGTCTTAAGTAGTTTAGACTTACATCCTGGTGGGCTAAATATAGAACTTCGGATGTTCCAGGGCCCTTATTGCATCATTCTGCTAGCGTGGGCAAGCAAACAAGTTTACAGGAGCAGATGTAGCTGATTATGCAGGTGCAGTGGATAAGGGTGTTATTAATTTTGCAACGTCTGCAAAACAGTTCTAGGAAGGGATTGAAGCCTATGAAGCCTGCTCCAAGGTCAGAGCCGCTTCTTTGTTCCCTCTTACAGTTTCAGCTACTTGGAAGGATCACCTGAGCCCACCAGGTTGAGGCTGCGGTGGCTGTGAGTGTGCCACTGCACTCCAGCCTGGGTGACAGAGTGAGATTCTGCTCAAAAAAAAAAAAAAAAGAAATGTGCTTAAATCTCTTCAATGATACTCCTAGATTGCCTGTTCATAAGACATTTTTCATGATGGAGAGATGTGTAGTATATATAGAATGTTTTCTATAGTCTCCATGTTATATAGAAGAACAGCTGTGCTAACCATTTAATCAGAGAACTGTGCAAAAGTTCAAAATTTATGAAGGCAGTACTGACTGTCTGCAGATATACTGAGCGTTTACTTTACCATGTAAAATGTGAATTCTGCAAGTGGTTTCTGTTATCTCTGAAAGTGACCCACTTTCCAAAAGCAGAGCTGGGATGACAAGATGGGGAGCTCCATTTACCATCTCTTCAAATGAGTGAGATTCCTCAGCCTCAGTGTCCAGGCTTCCATTTGCTTAACATACTTAAAGGAATTTTCCACTGAGCTAGCAAGGCAGTCACGATGACCTTGATACTGACAAAAGTCCATCAGGTTCTGCTCATTCAGTGACACAAGTTTGCCATTTTTCTGGAACATCTGTCCCTCAAAAGCACCATTCGCCCTAAAAGCAAAAAGGCCTCACACCTGCCCTGATAAAAGAATAAAAAAGCTGTAACCTGAAAAACAAATAGCAAGACTTTGACAACAGCTCACATGTGACTATGTTTAAAAACCAGCAGTCTATCAAAGCACAGATGTCAATTGTTTCTTGGCTTTCATGTGGAGATGGGAGGTCTCAATCTGACACTATCTTACCTACTCCTTTACAGGGGTCACCTAACCTTTCTCTCTCCAGTTCACATTTGTAGGGACATGAGTAACAAGAGGTTCCCGGAACACTTTTCCCTTCCTGTGCTTCTGGTATTGAAAGCCCCACACCCTCTGGTTGTATTCTTCATTGGTCTTCAAGAAAAAGTAAATACAATATTGGAAGGCAAGAGATTTATTTGATAAAGAGCTGAGAAGAGGAAGCACAGAGTCTACCTGTCCACACCACACTCACCCAGTCCCCAAAGGCATCCGTGGCCATTGTGAAGCCATGTTTCCCTTCCCTGTATTCCTGATTGTGTTGTTCAATCGTTTTCGTATTCTTCTCTCACATTGCTCTCCTCCATCCTTCTTCATTCTAGAAGCAAACATGCCATTGATAGTCTTTATTTCTACTAACAACCCAACCCAGGCTCACCAGGTGGATCTGGAGGCAGATATGGAAGAGAAACCATGGCCAGGGGAGGCTGGATACTTCTGAGAGCTGTTCTCCAAGCCCAGACACAACAGAGATGTGTGCCCATATTATGCTCCTAATTGGTGCCATGTGGTTTATTGCCTTAGGGTATTCGTAAGAGCTGGCCTCTAGAAGCTGGTCTCAGACTATAATCTGCCAACAGAAAGGATCATGTTCTCTGGGGAGCCTCTGGACCATTTCAGACCCACCAATTGGTCCATATAATTTCTGGGTTCAGTCTTCCACTGGTTCCACTGTGAATCTAAACTGTGATCAAGAGTAGGAGTAGCTGAGGCTATTCCCAAGCAAAAGGCAGCCAGGATAAGGGAAGTATTCATGTTTCAAAAACCTAGGAAGGGGAAGGATGTGAGCATCTGATTATATCATGTTTTTTCAAATAGCCATCTTATTCACTTCTTGAGAAATCAAGGCCACCGAAATAAAAATACTTAAATTATTCTGCCAATTATTTGCCCAAAGACTGTGGAAGAGGCTGAAAATGTGACTGGAGAAAAATAGATCAAGTGGATCAAGATCATAGGAAAGGGATAAAAACAAAAAACAAAAAACGGAATTATCTTTTGGAGGGTGAATTCTTAGTGGTTCAGGCTTCCCCTGCTGGGTAAATGTTCTAGAAACCCATTGGCATCAGTGTAAAAAATAGCGTTGGTGGTAAGAGGCTGCATTTGGCTTCAGTGAATTTTTTTTTTTTTGAGATTCTTTCAGTGTGTTTTCTCATTTCATGATGGATGATTTACAAGTGCACCTGCCTACACCACACTGAGTGTCCAGCAGTTTTCGACCAAAAACATCATGACCGTAGTCTCCCTCCGTAGTCACCCAATCTCACCCTGAGTGCCTTTTTCTTTTTGTTTCCTCATATGAAAAAAAATCTTCAAAGGGAAATGCTTTGCTTATGTGGGAGAGGTGAAACAAAAAATTCAGAAGTATTAAAAAGCATAAAAATTTATTAGTTCAAAAAGTGTTTTTGATCAGTGGAAAAAGTATCTCATGAATAGACACTTCTCGAAAGAAGAGATACGGGCAGCCAACAGACACATGAGAAAGTGCTCAGCCTCACTCATCATCAGAGAAATGCAAATCAAAACCACAATGAGATACCACCTAGCCCCAGTAAGAATGGCCATCATTAATAAAACAAACAACAAATGCTGACAAGGATGCAGAGGAAAAGGAACGCTTCTACACTGCTGGTGGGAATACAAACTAGTGCAATCCTCTTTGGAAGACAGTGTGGTGATTTCTGAAAGAACTAAAAATTGACCTTCCATATGACCCAGCAGGTCACCTACTGGGAATATCCCCAAGGAACTCAAACCATTCTACAAAAAAGATACCTGCACACGTATGTTTGTTGCAGCTCTATTCACAATAGCAACAACATGGAACCGACCATGTTGTCCATCGAAGCTGGACTGGATTTTAAAAAATGTGGTTCATACACACAATGGAATATTATGCAGTCATGAAGAAGGACAAACATATGATCTTCGCAGCAACTTGGATGGATCTGGAGTCGATCATACTCAGTGATCTATCACAGAAACAAAGAACTGAGTACCAGAGGTTCTCACTCACAAGTGAACCTTTAACAATTATAATACTATAAGAAAGGGATTGGCAGTAGTGGGAAACTGTCAAGGGTGGGGGGTGGGATTGGCAGTTGAGGGAAACTGCTAGGGGAGAGAGGGGCATACCTCATCAACAAGGGTACCTGCATAATCAATGTTTGTATACCTAACCCTGAATTGTACCCCACATCTTTATAAATTAAAAAAAAAAAAAGAAAAAGGGTCTCAGTAGGTGTATTGCATCAAATGGAGAGTACTTTGAAGGTGACTGAAGTTTAAACATGTAAGAATAAATACAAAAAAAAATTTTTTTTGAGTTGGAGACTCACTTTGTCGACCAGGCTGGAATGCAGTGGCATGCTCATGGCCACCCCAGCATTGACCTGCTGGGCTCAGGCGATCCTTCTTCCTCATGCTTCCAAGTAGCTGTAACCACAGTCATGGGCCACCATACCCAGCTAATTTTTTTTTATTGTAGAGACGAGGTCTTGCCAAGTTGCCCAGGGTGGTCTCAAACACACAAACTCAGGTAATCCACTCACCTCAACCTCCCAAAGTGCTGAGATTACAGGCTGAGCCACCGAGCCCAATTAATGCAAAATTTTTAATAAATTCTGGTTTTGGGGGGGTCCTCCCCTCATATTTGAGGGACCCACCAATATGAAAAGCAGAGCTGTAGTAATTGAAACAGAAAATTAGGAATCAGTTGGGCCAGATTTTGTACCAATGGTACTGAGATTACCCAGGCAAAACCTCACTAATTAGGACCTCTAATCCCAAGTAGGGCAGAGGGATTCCCAAGAGTGAGAAAGCCACCTCCCTCCTTCTTCTAGGCCAACACACAGCAGGAGGTGAGAGGTGTCTTCCCACCCTCCCTTCATGGAGGAAGCCTTACTGGAACGCCTTCTCAGGAGAAACTGAGAAGGAGAGCACCCAAGGTTCCCATAGTCCCACACTTGGCCCAGTGCCAACAACACCCCAACTCACTCCCCCAAACAGGAGATCAGATCAGGTAGCTGAACTGCTGGAGGTCAGAGCCTCCAGTACCAGGAATAAGCATCTCAAGCTTCAAGATTTGTCCCGGTCCAAGTCCCCTGTGTTTTGCTCCTGCACTCCGATCAAGGTCAACTGGCCCCAGGATGTTTGCAGAGCTGCAAGGAGAGAGGGACAGTTCCAACTGACCAGGGGGCGTCTTACCTCACTGTCACACCCCTCCAGCTCTGGGGTCACCACGGCCTGGCACCCTGGAAACGGTCCCACACACGGAACCGATATGGACTGCATGAGTCCCAGGGTGGCTCAGCTCACTGGAGTCTGCGACGCTGGCCCTAGAGATGCACAGGTACAGCCGTAGGGTTTCCAGTTGTCTGCAGCTGCCCCAATGCTGCCAACTTGGCCTTTAAAGCCCCCCCAGATGGCCCCGCCCTCACCACCTGCCCGTGCTGTGATTGGCTGCGTCGGCCGCTGGGCGGGGCCTCCAGGCGCTCAGACACAGCAAGTGATGAGGTCCAGGCCCAACCTGTCCCAGGGCCTGGCGCCGGCCTCAGTGAGTTCCGGGGAGCAGAGCCGGATGCCCCAGGGTGGCGTGGGGAGGGTTGGGAGCCTTAATGAAGTACCCGACTTAAGGCGCTGGGCCGGTCAAAACAAGTTCTTGTGAATCCTGTGTGGATTTTCAGCCTCACCCTGCTTTTTCTGTAGTCCCGGGGTCTGGGGCTAAAATCCCTCCCTGCAAGGCGGAGGGAGGGCCAGTATGCTCTAACCTAGTGGTTCCTGTTTAGCTTTGGCCGCCTCTCCTACCTCGGGGAGGTGAATCTTTCTCTAAGAAAGGGTTGGATGAAAGAATGCAGAGCCTGAGGGCAGAAGCATTCTCTCCCATTTAAGGGTGGGATGAGCTGGGGGTTTCAGGAGAATCCGAAGGGGAAAAGGCACCCCAAAAGCTGTGTCAAGACCAGACCCTAGGAGGCAAGAATACTGGCTGGGTGGGGCTCTAGAGACTTCCTGACGCTTTGTGATGTGTCCCTCCTGTCTCCTCCAGGAATTCATCCTTCCTCCAACGCTTTCATTATGCAAGTGTATGAATCAGCCATCAAGAATTACTGAAGTTGCACCTTTGTGGTCGCTGTCCTTTGCTTGGTACCATTGGGGCATGTCCTTAGAAACAGTCTCCATGTGACTTTCCTAGCTGCTTTTCGGAGACTTAGCCTTTACATTTTACAATCTAAGATTAACTCAAGAATCTTTCTTTTGCAGCAAATGTACACAGAGGCTGACAAATGAATTTAAATTAAATCGCGTCTAAGCTTCCTGCTGCATTAGGTAACAAGGGAGCTGAGCTTTGTGCGATGTCTCCTCGTGAATATAAAATGCATTTAAAAGAAGCCATGGTTGCCTCCTTGAATGATAACTCAGTGATCTGTAATGAACTCTTACATGTTAGTTCCTCTGGCATCTTCGCAATGATCTCAAGGGAAGGTCGGATTCCTCGCTCAGAGGGTGGGTTGGTTCTCAAAAATAGAATCTGGATACTCTGTGGGTCCTGGGGATAGGAGGATGAAGTTTAGGAGTGCTCGGGCCCAGAGCCATAGGTCTCACGTCAGGGCGGTGAGACCAACACAGGCAGGCGGCAACTGCTGAGGGGCCGGGGATGGGAGAAGGTGGAAACAGGACACAAGAAAAACGGGCATAAACCACCAGAGTGCAGTCAGTGATGAACAGAAGGTCCAAAGTTTCTACTGAGGCAATTTCCTTGGTTTTAGGTTTTGAGAGATCATGCAGGGAATTGAGGATGTTTGATTTTATGGTTCTATTTCCTTTTCGTGGTCTCAATTTAAGAGAATGTTTTATGTTTGTTTCTAGAATTGGTGAATGAATGAACCTCACTTTTTTTTTTTTTGAAAAGCAGGATTATTGAGAGGCCAGAAAAGCTCCCACAGTGGGAAGGGGTTGCCTGAACCTCACATTTTTAATACCAGAAATTGTCACAGAAGCATTGCCACCCGATTTAGGCTTAAAAAGCTGACAATGAGTTGATCCTAGCGAAGGTGCAGGGCCTTTCCCTCCTAGAAATGATCACACAAGAAAACACCCAGGAGGCTTGGGACAAAACGCCCTCTTGGAAGCTGGTGGGGTGGAAAGATGCAGAAGCCCAGTCTGGACCAGGCAGCATATATTCTGTGTGGTGATAATTCTTTGTTTGACCACATTTTAGTCAGGTTTCTAAATCTTTTGTTATATCCGTGTACTTCCTTTTTAAAAATCCGTTTTAGTAATGAAGTCTACTAAGTCAGTTTAGCAAAAATCCCCCACCCTGGATATCTGGTCCTCCTCTATAATTGATCAGGGTCCTTAACACCCAGCAGTCCCCCAGGTGATAACTGATCACTCCGGCCTGTCTTCAGCAAGAACCCTTTTGGGGCAGTTCAGGGGCCCCTGAGTTCAGTGTGCAATACAATGGAACTAAAACTCTATTGGTCACATGACCTCATAAGCCTCTACACTGCCCAGAGGGCCACAGTGATGTTTTGGTACTCCTGCAATCAAGTTAGTTTAGAGCCAGTTTCCAGTGGCTCCCAAAAGTTCTGATTATTTCATTTTCCCCAATGCATGGATATCCTAGAAAAAGGCAATTAGGTGCCTTTGGAGAAGGCTGGGAAAAACATTAAAAGTATAATTTTTTGCTGGGCACGGTGGTCAAGCCTGTAATCCCAGCACTTTGGGAGGCCAAGGCAAGAGGATTGCCTGAACCCAGGAGTTTGAGATCAGCCTGGGCAACCTGATGAGAACTTGTCTCTACAACAAATAAAAAAATTAGCTGGGTGTGGTGGTGCGTGCCTGTAGTTCCAGCTACTTGGAAGGCTGAGGAAAGAAGGATCGCCTGAGCCCAGCAGATCGAGGCTGTGGTGGCCGTGAGCTTGCCACTGCACTCCAGCCTGGGTGACAGAGTGGGACTCCAATTCAAAAAAAAAAAAAACCTGAAGCAAATACTCATGCTTCCTCTCCCCCCATAAAGCACACAGTCCCGTGTTAACAATTAAACCCAATCCTGACAGACATCCATGTGCAGCACTGGGGAGGGCTCTAAAGGGGGACCCAGAGGCCAATCAGGGCCCACTCCAGGGACTTGTCACCCTCTAGCAGTCAGGGCAGGTCTGAGCAAGTGCTACCTGACCCCAATTTCAAGAGTTCATAGGTGTCACCTCTTGGAAGGACTATGAGGAGGCAGTTTCTCTTTGTGCTGTAATATTTCAATTTTTTAGAGAATGAGCTTTCATTATTTTCATGAAATAACAGATTCAGAAGTATGTGGTTCAAGAAAAAAAATTAAAGAATTGGTAAGGGAGAAAGAAGGAGAAGGTGGAGAAGGACAAACAGGTCCTCAGATACCTTGTCAAAGCAAGCGTCCCATTGGTGATGAACGTCCCTGCATTTCCCACCAACACTACTCAGCCAGTCCATGAATACAGCACAGACATGAGGAAGTGCCACTGGCCAGCTGGATTCCAGTGCAGACCACAGGCGTCTCAGTAACAGAACCTACTGAGAATGGTGGGTTGATGGCTCCAACTCATCATTCCCAGGTGAGAGGACTAGAGTGAGGGCTTTGCCAAGGCTGAAGTAGGGACGCTCTATGAGGGATGTACCAAGGGACAACACTCTAGTGGGACTGCTTGCGTGAGGATTCATTATGGCTCTGGCCAGAATTCCAGGACATTTGCTCTTTTAGCACCCTCCCACCCCGCCCAGTGCCCCAACACCATACACTCCCCCTCTATCCCAACCATAGGCAGCCTATTGAGCTATTCACAGAAGTATCCATTCCCAGGCATTTTCCTATTCTTTCCTATTGGGTCACGTTCAGGAGCGGCAATAGATTGCTAATCTCCCAACACTCAGGGGCAGTCCAATATACGCAGGAGCAAAGAGCCAATCTTTAGCTTTGGTTCCTGACTTCTTCTGAGAAATCATAGCAGAAATTTCCTCTTTCCCTTTCAGCATGGAATAAGTTTTGAAGTTGTAACCATCTACTAACAAGTAAAAATCTCAACAAATTGAAAAATCAACAGCTGTTCCTAGATCCATCAGACTAGCAGAGTCGTGCAACAAACCACTGGTCCAATAATGGCATTCACAAATGAGTACAAAGAATCACAACTTAACAGGAGCAGAAACCCACTGGAACAGCAACCTGGCAGGAAAACCTCAACTATAACTAAGAAATTGCTGGAGGGTTTGGGCTGACAAGTCTAAAAGGTGAATCTCTAGGGATCCCAATCATGAAGGAGGGTACTCCCAGTAGACAGAGTTTCCATAGCTCCCTTGGGCTCTCAAAGTGAAATCTCAGAACTCCTTTATTATTTCTGCAAGGAAAAGGAAAAGTAGCACTTTTGAAACATGAAAGAACATACTTTTCTTCTTAAAAAGGCCTGCCTTCAAGAGAACACCGCTTTTTCAAACATGAAAATACTGGGAGTTTTATAAAAATCTAACTGACTGGGAGGGTGGAAATATCCAACTCCAGCCCACCATAGTCACATGGAGAAGGATAATACACAACTTCAGCCCACTGTAGTCACCCGGTCCCACCTATAGAGTGAAAAACCTAGAAACGTTTGTGAATTTCATAGCCCAGGAACACAGCTCATTAAAAAACTACAACGTATAAGATTAAGGAATGCTTCTCCTCTATAAAATCAACCACTACATTCCCAAAGGGTTATTTACCAGAGCTGCTTCAACTGGGTAAACCATGTTCTTCTTTCAACAGACAATGACAAGGCATACTAAAAGACAAGAAGCAAAACTTGAAGAGACAGAACAAACATCAGGACAAGAATCAGTTATGTCATGGATGTCAGAAATATCATACCAGGAATTTAAAATAACTGTTATGACTATGCTGAGGGCTTATGGAAAAGATGACAGTATGTGAAAACAGATGGAGGATGTAAAAAGAGAGTGAAAATTCTAAGAATAAAAAGTGATGATTCATTTCGGGAATGGTAGCTCACGTCTATAATCCCAGCACTTTGGGAGGCCGAGGTGAGAGGATTGCCTGAGCCCGCGGGTTCAAGACCAGTCTGGGCAACTTGGCAAGACCTCATCTCTACAATAAATCAAAAAATTAGCCGGGCGTGGTAGCACGTGCCTGTAGTTCCAGCTACTTAGAAGGCTGAGGCGGAAGGATCGCTGGAGCCCAGCAGGTGAAGGCTGCTGTGGTTGGGAGCATGCCACTGCCCTCCAGCCTGGGTGACAGAGTGAGTCTCCAACTAAAAATTAAAAAATAAAAAATAAAGGATTCAGAGCAAAGTAGGAATAGAAGGGAACTTTTTTCAACTGAATAAAGATTATCTACAAAAGCCTACATGTAACATCTTACCTAATGGTGAGAAACTAGAAGCTTTCCCACTAATATCAGGAGCAAGCAAGGATGTCTTCTTCCATGATTCCTTTTCAACACAATACTGCAAGTTTTAGATAATACATAAAGACCTGAAGATAAAAGTTATATAAATGGAAAAGGAAGATATAAAACTATCTTTGCTTGCAGATGGCATGGTTGCCAATGTAGAGAATCTAAAACAATCAACAATGACAAAAATCTCTTCAAACTAGTCAGCAATTATAGCAAAGTTTTAGGAGATAAGATTAATATTCAAAACTCAATTGCTTTTCTATGTATCAGCAATGAACAAGTGAAATTTGAAATTAGAAATAATACCATTTACATTAGCACCAAAATAATACTTAGGTATCAACCTAATTAAATATATACAAGATCTCTTTGAGGAAAGCTACAAAACTGATTTACAAAGTCAAAGAACTATTAGCTGGGTGTGGTAGCACACCCCTGTAGTTCCAGCTACTTGGAAGGCTGAAGTGGAAGGACTGCTGGAGCCCAGCAGGTTGATGCTGGGGTGGCCATGAGTGTGCCACTGCATTCCAACCTGGGCGACAGAGTGAGACTCCAACTCAAAAAAAAAAAAAAGTCAAAGAACTAAAAGAATGGGGAGACATTTCAAGTTAATTGATGAAAAGACTCAGTTTTAGCAAGATATTAATTCTTCCCACTCCATCTATTTACTAAATGTAAAAGCCATCAATGTTCCTTCAATTTATTTTTTTTTAGATATTGACACACAGATTCTAAAGTTATCAGGTAAAGGGATTAACCTTGTATAACTAACACATTACTGAAAAGGAACAAAGCCAGAAGACCCACACTATACAACTTGAAAACTTTCTATAAAAAACGGTAAGCAAGCAAGAGCGATATTGGTGAAAGATTATCATGAATAATGAATAATAAATGAAATCATGAATGTAACAAAAGAGAGCTCAAAAGTAGACACAGATAAATATAGTCAATTGATCTTTGACAAAGAAGCAAAAGCAACACACTGTAGAAACAATAGTCATTTCAACAAATGGTGCAGGAAGATCTGGGTATTCACAGGTAAAAAGGGAAATTAAAACGCCTACTTCTGTGGGTACGGGAAGGATTATGGGGGATTAGGCAAGTAGTGGTTAGCACACAGATGACAGCAAAAAGAATGATTTTTCTTCTTAAAGATGTTCTAAAATGTAAAAGTGTTCATATACCACTTAAAAACCCTTGTTGGAGCTGTAGTGTAAGATATGTCATTGAAGATTTTAGAGAGAATGATCAGAAAACAAAGAAAAGTGGTAAGATACCAGATAAGCCCTTGAGACCTGAGGTCACAGAAGAGGGCAAGAATGGACAGACTAGGGACACAGAGCCATAAGAATAACCTGGAGCCATGTCAACACACTGCCTCTGGCGAGCTCTCTTCTGTGGTTTGATGTAAGTTTAAGGAACTCCTGTGTCTCTCAGTCAAAGCACCTATCATCATGGCTGTGTCTCGTGTTTTTCCTTGGTGGTGTAGCCTCCAAATGTGTGTGATGCTCTGAAATAGATGGGCAAAATTACCTGGTTAAAATGCAATCTTGCTGGCCCAAGATTCATCTGGGAAGCTTGTGTTCTTCCCCTCCTTCTCTTGCGTAGCCTCAGAAACATAGTAAGTATGTCAAAATGACTTTCTTATTTCTAGAAGAAAAAATATGACTTTCTTGACTTCCTTTTTTTTTTTTTGAGTCAGAGTCTTACTCTGTCACAGAGGCTGGAGTGCAGTGATCACCGCAGCCTCGACCTGCTGGGCTCAGACAATCCTGCCTCAACCTTCTAAGTAGCTGGAACTATAGGCGTGTACCACCATGCCCGGCTAATTTTTTATATTTTATTGTAGAAACATGGTCTCCCCGAATTGCCCAGGCTGGTATTGAACCCATGAGCTCAGGCAATTCTCTCACCTCGACCTCCCAAAGTGCTGGGATTACAGGCTTAAACCACCACACCCAGCCAGTCTTCTGTTATTTTACCCTCAGCATTTTGGTGTTTCTGGCCCACTACCTTTTGTTACCTCAACTTCTCAATGGTAATTTCTTTGTTGGAAATCTGCTTTTCCGTCTAGGTATAGATATGGATAGGTCTGCACATAATTTAATTTTTCTGCTGATAATTCATTGGACTTCTTACATCTCAGCATTCTTGTCTTTTATCAATTCTGAACATTTTAAGAGATACTTCTCATCTTCTCCATTCTCTCCCCTTATTGACAACTGAATTATTCCTGTCACATATCATATAAATGTGGATACCAATATGCACATGATGTGAAACTTGAAGCTTCAATATCTCATGATAGGTGTTTTCATGCTCACATCCCTAAGAGGTAAATTTTCTTGCTCCTTTCTTGGACCACAAAAGGAATCTGTCTATTGCCTCTTTCACAGATGGGCAGGTCCTTCTCAGCTGATGGTTAAATTGGATCTCAGTTCTCATCTACATCTTATGGCTCCCCATGACATTACAATCCCAGCCATTGACTAAACAGTCCTACACATTAGTACTATGTCTCTCGTAGACACCCTCTCTGAGCTCCTGTTTGTTTCTGGCTAAGAGTTTCCATTTTTTAAAAAAGAACTATCATATATTTTTTTAAAATGTCTTATAATTTACATAGAATTCCTGAGTGTTTGTAGCAGAAAGAACATTCACTTGAATTCAGTTAGTCATACCTCTGAAATCAGAAGTGTCAGAGTGATCTTTGAAAAATTATATAGTTGACCCTTAAACAACGCAGGGGTCAGTGACACAAAAATTCCTTAGTCAAAACACCACATGTAAGTTTTGACTCCCCCCCAATTTAACTACTAACAGCCTGCTGTTGGCTAGAAGTCTTACTAATAACATATTTTATAGGCTAGGCATGGTTGCTCATGCCTATAATCCCAGCACTTTGGGAGGCTGAGGCAAGAGGATTGCCTGAAAACCATGGGTTTGAGACCAGCCTGGGCACCTTGGCGAGACCTCATCTCTACAGTAAATCAAAAAATTAGCGAGGCGTAGTGGCTACTGAGGCGGAAGGATTGTGTAAGCCCAGCAGGTCAAGGCTGCGGTGACTGTGAGCATGCCACTGCACTCCAGCCTGGGCAACAGAGTGAAACTTCAACTCAAAACAAACAAACAAAAAAACATATATTTTATATACATATTATATACTATATTCTTACAATAAAGCTATAAATATATTATTTTAAAAATCATAAAAAAGATAAAATATATTTAATAGTCATTAAGTGAAAGTGGTTCATCGTAAAGGTCTCAATCCTCATCATCTTCACTTTGAATAGACTGAAGTGAGGGAAGAAGAGAAGAACTGGTCTTCTCTCCCAAGGGTGGCAGAAGTGGACGGAATGTCGTATATAAGTGGAGCCATGCAATTCAAACCTGTGGTGTTCAAGGGTCAGCTGCAAATCACATCATTCATGCCATTATCTAAAATTGTTAAAGAGCTTCTTACTGCACCGAGAATCACATGGAATCTATTTTCCCATAGTCTATGCAGTCTGTCTTAATCAGGTCTTGCCTGTCTCTCCAATCTCATGCTACATAAACAATTCTCTGGTGTATTCATTATGCTCTATCTGCTGGCTTCCTTTCTTATTTTCTGCCTCCTTCAACTGGGGTGTAAGTTTTACGGAGAAAGCAACTTTGTCTTGGTCCCAGCTCTATCCTTGGCATCTAGCACAGTGCCTGATACACAGAAGGTAGCGAATAAATGCGTTGAATAAATGAAAATGGAAGTGATTCTCAAAATCTTCCAGTTTAATCTTTTTTTTTTTTTTTTTTTTTACAAACAGTAAAATGAGCTGAGCAAAATGAGAAAGGTTTACAAACTAGCCCAAGATAAAATATATTTAAAGAGATATCCAAAACAAGTACTCAGGTCTCCTGACTCACCTATCCTATGTTCTACCTGGTGAGTACTCTGTTGGTTAGAGAAGGTCTATATCAGAAATTTTGAAAGACAATGGATAGAACATAGGGCAATCCATGGTCTCCTTCCCACTTACATGATGAATTTTGTAAAACATATGCATATATAAAATTTTCTGAGGAAAGAGTCTGTAGCTTTCAGCCCATTTTGAAAGTGTCAACCCCACCTCCCATCTTAAAAACTTCTGGCTCACGCATTGTTTGTGAACTGTTGAGTTCTTTGTCTGTTCTCCCTTGCCTTCTTACCAGTTCTTCTAAATAAGCCTTGAAAAATGATTATGAATTAAATATCCACCATGCTGTCAAAGGATCTGGTGTGATTTGTATGATTTGTGATCTGGTGTGACTTGTATGATTAAAATGCTGCCATTTCAGTAGCCGGAAACTGTCAGGGAAGGGGCCATAATATTAATAAGGGTACCTGATCTCAAACCAGGCAAAGTGGGGACCAAAAGGAGGCCCAAACTTACGGTAGGAACGGCCTTTATTGGTTGCAGCGGGAAGTGGAAGAGAAGTGGAGCCTCCTGCTTCTGGGACGGTGTCTGTAGACCTGAAACCAAAGAAGATGTGAGCACCCCGGGGAAGAGCCCGCCGGAACTCGGTGCTGCCCTACTTTGAGAAGCCAGGTGTCTCGGTGCTTGAGGATAGAACCAGTGGACAAGAAGCCGCCGGCACCGAAAACATGACGCCGAGGGAGCCGGAGCCCTTTCCCTCTGCCTCCGTACATAACAGGGAGCGGGACTACACACCCGGCCCCCGCCAAGAAAAGGAGGGTAAAATTTTTTAAAAAGTAAAAAAAAAAAAAGAAAAGTTGCCATTTATAGGCGAAGAGTTTAGTTCTGGAGTTACAGAATCACTTAACACACAAGTTTAAGGGTACTCCGCCAACATTATTTATCAAGACTGACAATATGAATGCTCACACATTGGCTATAGTTGTAAAGGATGCAGTATTTCAATAGTCAAATTTCCGGTACCCATTTCTCTAAAATGCTGAAAAAGTATTTCTCATTTCAGTTGCTCTACTCTGTTGGAAATGAGATTATCTGTGGGATACGTTTTTGCTCTGGAGAGCTGAGGATGAGATGCTGAACAGATCGGTCAATATGCATATAACTGTAGACTTGTGGATTTTGAATATTCACAGGGAAAATCCATCATTTCTTTCTCAGGGATATTTTGTTTTTCATAAACCTGCTATGTGTATGCAACGGCCAGGGGAATGGGAAAAAAGGGAATGAGAGTGTCCTTGTAGCCAACGGCTGTGCCACATCTTCCCAGGCCATGAGCCACCCTCCCTTTTCTGAGAACAGTCCTCCCTTCAGAGGAGCCCGGCTGCTCAGCTGTTAATAGTTGAAACACAGTTGGCAAAGCTGAGCCTGCCACATGCTTTTGGAAATTAGGATTTGAGACTCAGAGACAGTCAGTTAAATCTCTGATACGCTTATAAATTTAGACTCGTAGGATGATATATCTTGCCATGTATACAAGGAAGGGAACCAAAAAAAAGAAAAAAACCCAGAGTTATATTTTGGAGGACGGGTCCCTTATAGTACAGGCTTTATCTGATAGGTAAGTGTTCTAGGAACCCATCTGCCTCAGTGTACCAGCTAGCTTTGTGAGAGGCTGCGTTTGGCTTTAGTTACTTATTTAAAGAGTCTTTCAACACTTTTGCCCGTTTCACGAAGGGTGATTTACAAGTGCACCTGCCCATATGCACTGAGTTCAGCAGTTTTTTTTTTTTGAGTTGGAGTCTCACTCTGTCGCCCAGACTGGAGTGCAGCGGCCGCTCCCGGCCACCGCAGCCTCGACCTGCTGGGCTCCGGCGATCCTTCTGCCTCAGCC